GAGCTCTGCTCCAGCACAGTCTGGCATTTAAATGGCACTGTACTTTAGAAGTGCCTGTGATAAAACAGCACCTTCTTGCTGAGAAGATGCACTCCCAGCAAGGATCAGGGTTGCATCTGCTGATTTTAATGACAGAAAATGAGCTTGTGACATATTACTGGTGCTATCATTGTAGCACTAATGTAGCCAAGAGATAATTAATGGAAGATGTGTGGTTGAGTCCCTCGTGCCTCTCTCAAAGTCTCAGGCTGTAATTGGTACATTGGCTCTTGCAAAACAAACTGCACTCCTGATACAGCTCAGAAATTGAAACACAGCACTCTGAAAGAGATGCTTTACTTTAGGAAGTGGCCTTCTAATAAAGTGATTTGAAAACGAAGAGCATTCTCTGCGCCTGGTTGCTGGTGCTGCTCCTCTCTTCAGTGCTGTGCTATATGCCCCCCCAGTTTCCCTGCCATGGCTTGGTGTTATGCAGCTAGTGACTTCTGATGACACATTTTGATGCATTCAGCCCAACCACACACCAGCATGAACCAGAGATCGCCGTATTTCTGGCTGTAGAACCAGAGTAAATGTGGCCCTGTGCCCAGACAGTGTTGGCGGTGGCTGGAAAGCCAAGACTACATGTCTAACAAGAAACTGGGAAAAATCTGTTCCACTGAAGGCGTGGGGCAGGAGCCCTCTGCCACCACTAAGGGCATTCCTACATCACCTTTTTGGTGTCAGGAGCAGGCACTGTTCTTCCCCTTCCCTGTCTCTGTCTTATTCCTCACAGCCATTCGGGAGCCATGTCTGTTTTCCAGCTATGCACAAGTACGTAGCAGAACTGATAAGGAATGAGGACGGTTGGTCTGATAGCTGCATGGCTCTGTTGCAGGCTCCTTGTGTGGCCTCATCAAGCCACATCTCAGTTTCTCCCCAGAAAATGACTAATAAAACTTCCTTACTTCCCAAGGGGATAAGAGGATAAAAACAGCAACAACCACAATGTGCAAAGCTATTACAGACGTCAGTCTAGGCAGACTGTCAGCTTTAGCACATAACATGCTATCATATCTGGTTCTGATTCATGTCCATCCTGTTGGGTGGGACCGTGGAGCACGGTCCTCCAGAGAAGAAGGTGCCTCTGGTCTCAGGGTTGGATCACATACTGACCATTTCCTGCCCTGGGAGAGAGAGTAATCTCTTTTAACACATTTCTCTTTTTCCTTCATGAAAAAGTGGCAGAGGACATCTTGGAAACGGAACACCGGCTCATGCCTTGCTGTGTGGCTGTCCCCTGATGGGGACTAAGAAGCCATACTTGGAGTCTCCATTCCTCTGTCCCTGACAAAAGCAAAAACTAGGGTGTGGAGAGATGCTGTCAAACCCTGCACCACATCAGCTCTTGCCACAAGTGCTCCCTTGCCTCAAAGCAATCTAAGAGGAAGCACAGCATAAAAGTCTGGTAAGATCTGCTCCAGACGCCTGCTGTGGCACATCGGGAGACTAACATATTAACTCTGAAAAAACCACTAATTTTAAGGAGAACTCTGTACTTAAGGTGGAAGATGTTTTGCAGAGATCAGCAGAGTTTGTCTGGTGCTGAGAAACCAGGGAAACCTGTTAACAGCAGACTGTGGATAATTGAGAAAATTAGTCAACGCCGCTTTTAAAGGACTTTTGATTACAATATTGCATGGGTTGGTAATACTTTGCTCTTAATCTTTTCAAATATACACTTGCAATGGTTTGTTTATCCCTTGCTTTTGACTTGCAGTCATAAAGGAGCTCTGCTTCTTCTGGGGCTCCAGTTGAGCAAGCCAAGTCACTATACAAAAAAACATTGGACAGCACATCCATAGTCCACACATAGCACAGCAGTTGAACTATCACTTGATAAAAACAACAGCTCCCAACTATGCAAGCTAGGGGTATCGTAAGGGTGACAGAGCACTGGAACAGGTTGCCCATGGAAGTTGTGGAGTCTCCTTCAATGGGGATATTCAAGACTCATCTGGATGCCCACCTCTGTGATCTACGTAGGGAACCTGCTGCAGCAGGGGGGTTGAAATCAGTGATCTCTTGAGGTCAACCTGCAATTCTTTGAAAGGACCTAAGACCAAGACCCCTGCCCATGGGCCAGCATGCAGTGAAGGTGGGAAATGAGTGCCATAGGGTACCTATCATGATGGAAGAGACAAATGTGCCAGAAGAAAGGGCACTGGCCCAAGATGCCCACCCTGGAGCTCGGCAGACTTCCTGAAGCCAGCTTTATTTATTTTGTTGGCAATACTCCATGCAAAAACAGCTTGGGGAAGGCAGCCTGGTGCCCCAGTTTTGTCCCATCCCTCTCTTTCACCCTTATTTCACGAGGAAGATGCATATTCCATTTCACATAAGCCCAGGCGTATGCAAGTGATTTCATGTGCCCAGCTACATATAATTATCCTAGATGTAGGCCTATAAATGATTCATTAAGATCTGTATCAGCTGGTTATTTAATGTGTCCTGCTAATTAAAACTTTGTGATAAAGACAACTACAAGCTTTCTGTAATTATGCCTCTGGACAGCAGAACGTGTTTCCAACCAGTATTTGCAGTTCCTGGGTATACATTGACACCTAAAGTAGGGTAGAAAAATATAGGTTAACAGGCTGCTCTTAATTGCTCTTTGTTAATAAGGTTATTGTAGAATTTCATTGTACAACAGCTTGGGACTCTTCTGCATAGTACCGCTTACATGCACCGTTAGGTGATGATGCACATACACTGCATTACCACTTTGTACATATGAAGAAAGTGGTAATAAAAAAAAAAAAGAGAGAGACCATTTCATCTACAAGAAATGTAGAAATGTGTCTGGCTCTGGACACTGTTCATTTGGGAAAAAATATCATAAAATAAAAATGCGGACCAAAGTCATGTTTGAGGAAACACAGCATGTTTCTCCCTACAGGATCAAATGTGGAATTTCCTGCTCAAACCAGAGATCCTGTTTGGCTCAGTGTGAGCTTCTCTCCAATACAGCCCACAGACCTGAGATGACCGTAAGTTGTATATATCAATGCCAGCAGGAAAAAACACAGTGACTTGGGAAGCACATCAGACAATGCTTTAGTGCTCTAGAAAATAATTATGCTAAGTTTATATCAGTATAACTAAGTAGGTCTAACATAGCTTATCACCAGTCTTGTACTCTCAAAATATGTTTGGTTTCAAAGAGAATATGCCTATGTATAAAACAGGTACGAAGTGTTTTCTTGGGATGGCTATCAATGTAATAAAATGTCAATAACAAATGATAAATGCTAAGTAAAAGAAGCTTTTCCTAAGCAGCTTATGCTAAGAATATAAATCTTCCCCTGCTACCAAAAGACTACATTAAGTGTAGTCCTTCTAATCTCATTGGCAGACTGCTATCACTGCCGGATAAGAATAAGATCGATCGTCTCGATGGCTCTTCCAAGCAGGCTCTGCCTGGTTAATCACAATGGGAGATGACTGCCCTTCTGTTGACATTTGGCATCTCCTGTCATCACTGGAGCAGGGCACGTTCCACCCAGAGGGATGACTCAGGCAAAACTTGTTGGCTCTCGTTAGCCACAGAGCATTGCCTAAACCCTGAAGTCTGCATCCTGTGTGAGCAGTGCACTAATCTGTTTTAATCTGTGGTTAATTCCTACAAACATCAATTGGAGAGAAGACACAATGAAAGCTATAGAACAGCCTCTCAAATGAATTTGAGTCCGTCACAGGTGTCCTCCACCACTGTGGCCAGCACCAGCAACTCACCAGTGTTGGCAAAGTAAACTCCATGCCATGCCTGTCCTTTCTCTTTCCAGCTTCCCATGTCCACATGGTGTCACATCCTCAAAATGTGGTGCAAGACAGAGCTAGAATGAAGTAGGTAAAGAAAGCCTTTACCACATGTTAACATTTTACAGACAAATTGACCTCGTAATAGCACAGAAATATTATCTAAAGTAAAGTTTTTAAAGTATCTAGAAATCTTGGCCATATTAGAGAGACTCCTTCTTGTACAAGAAAACACAGACCAGTTTCCTACAGATCTAAGCCTCGTATCGTCTTATAGTAGCTCCTCTATTTCCTCTCAACTACTCTCATGATAAAGTAGAAGTGATTACTCTGTAGTCACTCCTGTCTTAACTCTTTCTCAGTGTGAGAGGTCTTGCTTTCAAGTAAAGCTCCTCAGTGCCCCATGATAACAGCCATGGCCCTGAGCAGACTCCCTGATGGTTCCTCAGCACACCCAGCACAGCCTTCTCAACGGGAACATTTCACAGGGTTTCTCTACCCAGTGATCTACTTTAATTAAACTGATAGGAACGTAACTATGTTTGAAATTCCTGCTTAGAGTTTATCAAAAGTGATTCAGACTGGTCAGCCTCAAATAAGGAGGCACAGACCAAATGTGTATTACATTCTCAAATCTCTCACGGGACAAAGAAGTTTATGAAACAAGACTGGGCATGCCAGCTCCAGCCTGTGATGGCTGAGATGGCACCAGCACATTGTTATTAGCTTGCTACTGTCTGTGAGCAATGTGGGATGCAGCAGCAAAATGGCCAGATTTGAAACTGAATTTAAGCAGCATTGTAGGGCAGGTTGCAGACGAGGCTTGGTGTTAACAAGATATGGCTGTAAAGCCATGGCAGTGCAGGGATGGAGCCTGAGCAGGGTGTGCTGTACCTAGACCCAGCAAGCATCCTTTTGACATGAAAGTGGGACAAAAGCAGCATGAACCCTTGAAGCCTGAACAGACTGGGAGGAGAAAAAGCTTCCTACTGGCTCACACAGACCTCAAAGTAGCATTGGAGTCATGTGCAACAGGGACAGGCCAGAAGGATAATTCCCATTGAAAAAGCAATTTCACTGAATAGTAGAGGTGCTTGAGCAGAGGAAACACAGCTTCCCACTGCAGCTATAATAGTTTGCTGTGGCCTTTGGGTGGCACCACCCTGGTATCCCCCCTCTACAGACACTGACTGATAGTAAGAAATAAATCCCTGAAAAGATACGGGAATGGAACAGGATTAGATGTTTTACTTAAGGGCTGGAAGGAGAAAGGGGGTCAAATGCACAATTAGAGGGAAGATGCTCAAACCATAGGCTCTGAACTCTGGGTTTGTATGCTGCTTGGCACAGTGTGGCCACAATCCTGCTGAGGTCCCCAGGCAGCATGGCAGTATGCATCAGCACCAGTTTCTAATCCCAGTCAAAAGCCAAACCCAGTAGGCACCGCCTGGATCACAGAAAGGATTAGCCAGCACACTGTAAACAATAGTTGCAGGAGTCACTGTGCCTATTGTGCAAGCATTTTGTGCTGAGTGTACAGAAATTCCTGAGAAAATGGGGATGTTTTGATGAGAACGTAACTGAGATTCTCAAACAGAAGTAATGGGGTATTCTCAGTCTTTAGCCACAGGGATAATCTATCAATATCACTGCATACCATCCCTAGCTCTGCATCAACCAGATTAGCAAGGACTGCAACTCATATGTGTACTATGAAGCAATAAAGACAAGCTACTTACAAGATGATCCTTTGAAGCATTCAGACTACCTACCTTTTCCCATGAATAGGCCTTACTTTCTTTCATCACAAAAGCGCTTCTATCATAAGGCAGAATGTGTGGGAGAGTCAGTGGGTCCACGGGAAAAATCAGCAGAAATTAGAAAAATTAACATTTCTTTAGAATGAAAAAAAAAAAATTGGAGATGCTATAGATGTTTTTTCTATTAAACCATACACTCTTAGCCTAGACTCTAATTCCAGGAATAGCTGAGGGCTGGCATCTAGGATAAAGTCAGAATTGCTTGAGTTACCGTAACTCAAGAGGAGCTCATTTGAGGACAATCAGCTTGGTTCCAGCACCAGCAGCCACATCACAGGCCACACTCAGTCTAAACACAGCAGCTTCACTGAGCTTGGGCTTCACCATTCACCTCCCAGCAGAGATGTTTAAACCGTTCCCAGTTCAAGCTAGAGGAGGACAGAGAGAAGCCCACCGTGAACAGTCTTCAGGTCAGGCTTCAAGTTAGTGAAGAAAATAAAAAGGGTGTATTTTTAATAATTAATTTTGTTTGGTATTCATCCTTTTATAACTTGTGATGTCTTTATGTAATATGCCTCTAGTTTCACCACCATTTCCTTAAGAAAAATGAGATACACTCTAATAAGTCAGACCTAAAGCTTGCCAGTCTGGATGCATTGGTAGGGGAGACAAAACAATCCCTCACAAAGACGGGTTATTGCTAACCTTGTCAGCAGGCATAAAGAAAACCGAGGGGAGTTATGTGCACTAATTGTGTTATCTTTCTGAGCTTTGTGATCTCAAAAACCCTCAGGGATTTTTTGAGATGCTCCCTCTCTGTCAGGTGCAAATAGGAAGCGTGCTTAGAGTGTGTTCCTCAGATACACAGCAATAACAGTGAAATCACAATTATGATAAATGATGAACAGTAATGAAATAATGGTAGAAGGAGCTCGAGGTCCCACTTGTCCACCTGCCTTCTGTGCACTACAATGGGCACCTGTCTACCCTGGCAGGACCAAATCCTCTTTTTTTGGTCCAGAAAAGCACATGGTCAGACACAGCGGAAGTCAAAAGACATTTGCTGCTAAATTCCTAAATGAAAGAGATTTCAGTGTGAGGGGCTGGGCCATGTCAAAGAGCCTTTTAAGCTTTGTGCTCTGGTGGAGCTGGTGGCAGCAAAGAGCACTTTGTTGGTCACGTATGCAGCTGGGGCTATGGCCTTGCACAAGCCTCCTCAGCAGCCTCTAATCTAGGAAAAACTTGTGAACAACGAGGATATTAAGCCACATGAGCGCTGTCTCATCTGGTTTAATGCCAAGGCATTAGAGGGAAAGGAGGACATCTGTGTCTTCTCTGTGAAAACTCCCCCATCAGCCCTTGAAGCAAACCAATTTAACTAATGGGATGAGATATGGAATTGCAAATGCTGTTCTCAGCTACAATGTGTTGAAGTGAATATCCCTTTTGGAGGAAGAATTCAACTTAGTCTTCTCTTTGAGGTCTAGTTTCCAGCTTGCCTACATGTTCACAGGACAGACTTCATGTAGATATCTAGTCTTGGTGTTTTTCTAATCATAGGGGTTGAATATGAGAGAGGTGTATGTCAAGTTAGGGCCTATTATTTGTAATTAACTTAGCTTTTGCAGAACAGACAAAACAATTGGAGAAACTGGAAACTGGAGATCAAGTAGTTGTTGTTGGATTCAGTTACTGGCTTTACTTGACCCGAGGCAAAGCCCACTCTGAGTCCAATGCAAACTCTCCCATCAGCTTCAAGTATGACCAATTATTTGCCAAAAGAGCACCAAAAAAAACCACAAAAACCTTGGGGCTGTTTATAAAGATCTAGAACCAATGTGCCTGAAATAAGAGTAAGTATGCATAAATATTCATCACACATATAGACTGTTTTCATAAGTGTAACAGGAGTAAAAGAATTAAAGCATGTTGTCATTAACTGTGAGATCAGGAATTTTGTTCACCTTATTCTAGGCCTGGCAATGATCTAGCTACATACAGAAGTGGAGAGGTTGCTGCTTAGGTGTAGTGCTGCAACTGACACAACGCATGCTTTGATTGTGATCTTGAACACAATCCACTGATCTTCTAGGAGTGGACCAGGAGGCTGTAGGTGGTTGAGCAGCTTGTTATTCTCATAATCCTCTTCCTTTCCCTGCATCTCATTTCTAGTGGACAAAAATCTAGATTATTTTTTGTGATTACTAGAGTAAATAAAACCAAACCATACCTGAAAAAAGCAGAGGAAATCTTCAGAAACAAAACAGGGCCCATAGAGGGGACAAGGCTAACTTTCAGCTCTGATCACAAGGCTGCAGAAAGAGAAAAAAAACTGAAATAGAATTCCAAGACAGTCCTTGAGCAATACACAAGAACAAAACAAACCCAAAGGCTTTGCCAACTCACCACATGAGGAAATTCCTTCCTATCCTAAGCATAGCCAGGGATTCTGCAATGTATCCAGGAGCAAATATTGTTAGGGCTGATCTAGGGCTGACTGCTTTTGTCCAGGCGTGATATTGGCACTCAAAAGATGATGCTGGTTTTTCATCTTGCTTTTTAATAATTACTTAAGGAATCTCCCACAGCAAAAAAAAAAAAAAAAAAAAAAATAAAAAAATTCTAAATACTGGTTAATCTTTTAGAGCAAAAGCCAGACTTTCCAAGTGTTTGATCTAAATTCAGTTATTTTTTAATTTCCAGGAGTGGTGGTTTGTCTTCCTGTCCTGAAGATCTCTCGAAGACATGTCATGTCAAATCCTACACAGAAATCTAAGGCCCACTAGGGGTTAATGCATTTAAGCTGTGAAAACATGTTTCTGTAAGTAAGTGGCAGCACAGCTATGTAGAAATCTTGAATCTGCAGAAATTTCACATACAAGGAATGTCCTGTGGTTCTCAATGGCGTCAAGTTGCCCTTGTACTTTGCACCCCCAGGGTGGTGGTGGCTGCTGGCTGGGAGGGCAGGCAGCATGGGGCTCTACTTGAGGCACCTCGTGGGAAGGCACCGAGCACGGTGGTTCTGAGGAGCACAACTGGTGTTGAATATATTCAGCACTACAAAGGATCTGGCCATTAAAATGTCCCTTGCTGCTGCAGGCCAAAATAATTAAAACATCAGGGCATTAAATGTTTACGTACCAATGTCTTGCACGTCCACGTGCTTTATTCTAAGTCCTCATAACGGCCATATAAACTCTTAGTCTGATTTGGCAAGTCAGCCCAGTGATTCCTGGTTCTAATAAACAGTTTTGGCTTCTCTTGTGGAATCCCTTCTCCAGTTAAGCCTTGGTGCTGGAGCTGTGAACAGCGAGCCCAGGGGTTTGCTTGTAGACACCAAGCCTGGCCATCCAGTGGCGCATGGCACAGAGGCACTTGAGCAGCAGCAGCAATTTGGTAGCTCATGCTGCAGCCTGGCAGGGCTGTTGTGCGTAGAGTAGCTTTTCTTGGAGGTAGATGGTCCAAAACTGCATTCTGAGATAAAGCATGACAGAGGTTGCAGTTACCTCAAAAAGTAAACATAAGATGTTCAGAATGAAAGATGCACTGAGAAAAAAATGCAAGCTTGGCTGAGCATGGAAGTAACTCTCACTGCAGCCAAAGCAACTTACTTCCCTTTTCTTTAAGAGGATTCAATATCACAACCATAAAACTAAAATAAAAGTACAAGCATGTAAGTGTGGTAAGACTGCTATAGTCTGGTTATCTTACAACAATTTAAGGCTGAAGTTGTAAAAATGATAAATGCAGAATCTGAATGTGAGCCAGTAAAACAAAATCACATAACCCTACAATATCTTTGCAATGTGCATAGACAAGCCTTCTTCCCTCCTCTGTGGCCTGAGATAGTATATAAATATTTTTCCAGATAAAGAATAAGATAATCTGGAGCAAGGTGGTCACAGAATGGCTTGGGTTGGAAAGGACCTTAAAGCCCACCCATTTCCAGCCCCCTGCCATGGCTGCCCAGGGCTCCATCCAACCTGGCCTTGAGCCTCCAAGGATGGGGCAGCCACAGCTTCACTGGGCAGCTGTGCCAGTGCCTCACCATCCTTAAGGATTAAGGAGATCAAGAAAAGGGACAGGTGAAAGAGCAAGTCTGCTTCCTTGTACCTTTTATTCTATTTTTGATCCTAAATTCAAGATCACAAACGTTTTATAAGTATCAGATCCCTCATCATCTGAGCTAACTAAAAAACGTGATAGGTGGAAAGTAGAGAACAAGACAGAGCCTCTGTATCTTACTTTAGGAGTAAAAAACAGTGAGAGTTTTTGTGTGTTTGCAGTGGGCATCACACCTGCCAGAGCTGGCAGCAAGGAGGAAGCAATGCACAAAAAGCTGACCATGCATCTGTAACACCATGGTTCACATTGGTGATGCTGAATTTTCCTGCTGCATGTCCACTTTGCTTCCCACAAGTCCTCCATGTCATATTTAGATCATTAGCTAATTTCAGCTTAGCTTCTTTGTTTTCATTTTGAAAAGCAGTGAAATTAAAGATCTGGAGGTACAGCAGAGCTAACACACTGCAAAGAGCCTTCAGCATCTTTCTGCATTGCTATGGCCCTGGAGCTCAGCCAGGACATGGCCAGCTCACAGGACAAATCCTCCCTCGCCTATGGGAATCATTTTTCCCAGGTCTGAGAGGAAAACACACAGAGCTGAGTGTTTCACCTGAACTTACATGCTGAAACATAAGGGCAGTGTTGTGACCCTGTACATAATCTGGATCTTTCAGACATATTTCCAGCAACATCTGGAGCAGCACCTTCAGCCTCTCCAGGATGCAAAGCCCTCAGGTGTTTTCATGAAGCTTAACTACATAGGAGGCACCAGGAGGACAGTAAGCACTTTTAAACTCTTCCTAAACAAACTTTTCTGCTCACAGATTCCATCAAGGAGGTACGCAGCCATGGAGAGTGGACACCTGAGTGCGTCTCTGTTCCCCCTGCCCCAGGTACACGTGCTGCCAGCTGTAGGGAATCTGCCTTCCCTATATAGAATGAGCATCGAACAAGTTGTACCTTACTGCCTTGGGCTTTAAAATCTTCGTTCTTCTAAACTGAGACAACAGCACAGCTTTCCATGTGTTCTGTGTAAGAGCAGCTCCTGATCAAAGATGGATCCCCATCGGGCTCCCCCTGTTCCTGCTGTGGTTGCCCAGCTGGGAAGCATTCACAAAGTGCAGGCACTGCAAACACCAAGCTCTGGAAAAGCTTTGCAAAGGGAAAGTAAGTCTCCTGTTTATATTGTGAGCCAGTATTTTGTGTAAGCTGTGATGTTATAAAGTCAGGCACCCACAGTACGATAAACACATTTCTCCTTGCCCCTTTGTACATAGCCTGACAGAAGCAAGACAGTGTTTGTGACAGATGCTGATGAAATGAGCGATCTGGTTACGAGGCTGAAATATTTGGAAAGGACACAAGCTAGATCAGAATCTATTGCCTTTGTGGAAAGGAGATTTAATTTCTGAACTATCCACACGTGGCAACAAACAACCTTGTCTCTGCCCTCTGGTGACAGCCAGCAGGCACCATGCAATTATGATTAAAGCCTTTCATTGTTTTTGTCCCAGATTAGATTAAGTTGGTATTTAAAGATACAATTTTCTCATTGCTTTGTCACACCAGGATAGAGACACGGCTGTCTGTGCACTCACAGTGGGCAGCAAAAGGAAATCTGAACACTTAGAGGTGAGTACAGCTGGCAAAACTTCTGGTTTCCAGGAAGACCTGGAGAAATCATCACAATATTGCTGGATTGTTTCTACTGATAATCTGTTCCATAGAGTATTTCTATTTCTATTAATATGGGATCACTGAGCTCAGTGGGATCACTGAGTTACACACTCTTCATCACATAGAATCACAGAATCATTAAGGTTGAAAGAGACCTCTAAGATCATTCAGTCCAACTGTCCACCTATGACCAGAACTGCCCACTGACCATGTCCTCAGTGCCACATCCACATGGTTGTGGAATACCTCCAGGAATGGTGACTGCACCACCTCCCTGGGCAGCCTGTGCCACTGCAGCACAACTCTTTTAAAGAGCTTTTTCCTAATATCCAACCTCAGCCTCCCCTGGCACAACTTAAGGCCATTACCTCTCATCCTGTTACAGTTACCTGGAAGAAGAGGCTGACGCCCACCTTGACAAATTATTGTAGATATTGATAAGGTCACCCCTGAGTCTTCTCTTCTTCAGATAGAACCCTCAGTTCCTCAGGACTTGTGCTCCAGACCCCTCACAGCTCCACTGCCCTTCTCTGCACAACTCCAAGGCTTCCATGTCTTTCTTGTAGTGAGGGGCCCAAAACAAACAGCACTTGAGGTGCAGCCTCACCAATGCTAAGTACAGAGGGATTATCATGTAAAACAACATGCCAACATGCCAACTCTTACTGTTAACTTCGTAATGATCTTACACCAACAGTAGCTCACTCAATACAAGGACAATACATGCAGACACACAAGCCATGGTAGCTCAGTGGCACTGTAAGAAAGTGGCCCACTGACACAAAGCAACCACCTTGCTGGCCAGCAGCAACAACAGTGTGACCTCGTGCCTAGGCATCACCAAACAGGCCCTCATTTATCTTATGATGCTTTTAGCCAGTCAACACTGGTCTCTGTCAAAACCTGCTTTCTTGCTGCTGGCTCCAACCCATCACTTGAAAGGTCAACATTAATTTATCTTACAAACCAATTTCACTAATCCCTTTACATTTTATATCAATCACTTCAGAGCAATGGTTTGCACATTTGTCTCTGGCAGCCATCAGGGAAGGCCGTGCAGGCTTCTCTCTGGGGCCAGCGCCTTTCCCCTTCCCTCAGCACTGCTGTCCCTCACTGGAATCACCAGCTGAAGCAATGGAGCAGCAGAGCCACCTCGTGCAATCTGCTGTGCAGTCCTGGCTGCTTCCCCTTGTTACGGCCATAAAGGAAGGCCTGAGGCAGGCGACTTCAGTTTTGACATCACAAATTGACCTCACTTCAGATCTACCTTAGCTATGGGCTTGACCCTATTTTAACTCACTACAGTTATAGCAATTAAGTGCAATTGTTAACCATAAGGATGTTTTCGACCTAATATTTCCCAGTGTCACCTCGGCCCACAGTCTCATTTTTATTACGTGGAGAACATGATACCTGCACTACTCTGCTATCAAGTTCTCATTATAAGAGATTTGACACGCAATAATTTTCTTCAAGGGACAAACACACAGGGCGGTGAGGTGCTGGCACAGCAGCCCAGAGAAGTTGTAGATGCCCCATCCCTGGTGGTGCTCAGGGCTAGGTTGGATGGGGCTCTGGGTAGGTGAAAGGATGAAAAGGAACAATGCACAAGCACTTGCCAGTATCTAACACTCCCAGCTTTAAGAAAAAAGAACCAAAGGTGACACCCAATTGTTTTTGAAGATGCCCACCATCTTCAAAAATGTGGGTATGAAAGAAAGGAAAAACAAATGGGTAAGGAGGGTGAGACAGCATGACAAAGAGCACCAGCCTGGAACTGAAAGTGAAAAGGAGACATTTAATGAGCCCCATTTAAATCCTTCTTTGGATCCTGAGAGGCAATAAATGGCTCCTAAGGATTTCTCCAGCCTATTGGTTATTAAGAAGGGCCCAGGGGACCCTGCTTTCTGTCTTACAGCAGGTATACCATGGGACTCTGTAAACCTGGCATGGTAGGAAGACTCCCAATTTAGCTCACTAGGTATGGCTAGCCAGCCTCCAGACTATTTTTTTTTTTGCATAGCTCCAGAAAGATGCCTGGAGAACTGAAAATCCCAGCTTTTTACCATGAAAGCACATGGAAGAAAGGCAGAATCCAGTCTCAGTGTAGCATTTATCAAAGCCAATGAGAGCTTTGTCAGCGGTCACAATGGTACCACATAGCAAGACCAGCACAAGGCACCCACCAAATGAGAGACCAGAAGAATAGAGGAACCATGAGCTTGCTGCATACGGGACAAAAAGCAGCAAAAATATATTGTACTAAACTGCCTTTTTTTTTTTTTTTTTTTTTGGCAAGGTCGGGGTGGAGAAGTTTCCCCTGGAAATGATGCTTTTGATACATGGCAGTGGAATAGTGCTCCCAGCAGGGCCCAGTTTAATACAGAGCCCACAGGTGCTGAGGCACAAGCTGACACCAATGGTACCAGTCCAGTTTGCACTGCAGTCTACACAGATGCAATAGGCCACATTCTCAGGAGCAGGGCATGCTTACTTGTTTGAAATAAATAAACATTTAATTGATCCCCCGTAACAACACATCTGGAACTCTGGTTTAGAAAGCAGGTTTGTGACATTTTTAAACAGAAGAAATACTTGAGCTGCTCAAGAAATGCTGAGAGTGTTGTAACATATGCAGAAAATATTTCAAGTCCCCATAGAGGGGATGGGTAAACGTGGCTTTATGGGTGTTTTTTTTTTAACGCACTGGAGAGAATGAGGCTTCGTAACAGGCATAGCTGAGAATCTGCAGTTCTCACAAAATGGAGTGGAAATGTGACTACAATCAGCAATCTCAGAAGAGCCTCTCTGACACATTTAGGAAATAAAGCCAACACAGCCTCTTCAGAGTAATCCCCTGAAAAATCTA